TCCCGCTCTTTTGGTGTTAAACCTCCCTGGATTTTGAAAGACTGCTCTTTTGACATCTCACTGTCTATGCACAAGAAAGAAGATACTCCAAATTACGTCTTCAGGAATCTAATAGCTGAAAAAACCCAAGTATTGGACAGTACTGGTTGGAATCTTTTGTACACAGACGGCTCAAAATCTCCTGGTCTGACTCCTGCTTGTGCGGTGGTAGATGCTACAGGACGGGTTCTTCTCAACCACATATTTCACGAAAGTACTTCAACTTTCACAACGGAAGCCAGAGCTATCCTTCACGCTGCCAACCTTGCCCATAAAAACAAACTCAAAACCGCTATTGTTACCGACAATTTGTCTGTATTACAAGCTGTTCGGAATCCTTCGACTTCGAGATGGAGCACCATCAACAAATTAAGGAATATAATTACTACACCCGACGGAAAAATTAAAATGTTATGGGTACCAAGTCACATCGGTTTACTGGGAAATGAGCAGGCTGATCGAGCGGCAAAGTATGCTGCTTCTGCTCCTCTAATTATGGATGATGTCATGAAAAAGTTGGATCTTCAAAGATACATTGGAAGAAAAGTTAAAGAGAAAATTGCAGAAGGAAATTTACAATACCATCATCAACACTACTCTTGCATTAACCCTCAATTAACTCCACCTTTATATCCAACAAACGTTGAGAAAACCAAGATCCAAACATTTTCGAGAATTCGCCTTGGTCATACAATTGCAACTCACCAATGGATCCTGAAGAAGTCTTCTCCCCCAATCTGCTGTTGTGGACAAACTCTTACTATAAAGCACATTCTCTGCGATTGCCTCAACTTTTCCTCGGCTAGAAGTATTGCATTTGGAACGATTAACCCTTTGAACATTCTACAATCAGCTTCAGAACAGAATATCAATTCAATATATTACTTTTTTAATACTACTAAATTCACTATCTAATATCCATTTATTTAAATTACAACCGATAGCCTGTGTTGCTAGTGCTCAATGTCTTTTTTTTAGTCTAAGAATTCATTCAATTAGTCTAAAATTAAAATAATAATAATAGTAATAATAAATTCAGGGCATTGATTGTATATGATGGTAGCTAGGTTTGATTGTTAAATTTCGGCGTTTATAGCTATATATATGCACAAGAGGTTCGAGAAAGGGCTATGCGAAAATTGTCAAAAACCGACGTAAGCAACATTTGTCCAGATTTGCGTTAGGATTGCTTCTTTTGAGTGAGGATTGTTGCATTTAAAAAGCAACTGTAAATTGAAAATAAAATTGATAACTTAGGAACTGACCCAAAATAAAAATTTAAATTGGTGAAATTTGTTTACCTTTTACTCGAGTTGTCTAATTAATACACTTCATTCGCCAAACCTTATAATCAATTGTGTATTATCATTCTTCCCACACATCGTCATATACTCTCGCCATCATTGATAAAGTGCAATGGAACATCAAATAAAAAGTCATTTATCTACTGGATATAGTAAAAAGGAAAACCCGTGCTTGCATGAATAGCACCTGTCAGGGCGTAACTAATGACCAATAGCTTTTGGTCTCAATCTCGTTGAGAGCGTTTAATGAATGCTCTCTTGCCTACTAAAACAGATCGATTTACCCTTTCGCTCGCATTAGCTTGCGGCAAGCAGTAAAGTTATAATGAGCGCCACAATTCTCTAGAAAGTACTTGAAAATGGATGACTTGAATTGAACATCGTTATACGTCATAATTGAGTAAGGTTTGAGAAAGTGAAATTTGGACAAACAAACGAGAACAATAATAGCACCAATATGGCCAGAAGATGATCTAGGATAAGAATCTACTAAATCGTGATATAGCTTTGAAAAGGCCGAACAGAAAATGTTGGCTGGCACATAGGTGGTCTTAGAATTTGGTGCTTTCGTCTGCTTACAGACATCATAGGATGAAACATACTCTGAAATTTGCTTAACCATAAGTCTTTTTAAAGATCTGACGGAACCCATAATTTCCACAAATTTTGTTCCTGTAGTACATCTTGTCCAGCGCGTTAATTCAGTTAAAAATAAACATCTTCTCCACTTTCAATCTTTTGAGTTGATACAGCACCTACTCCAAACTGGCTCGCATCACATTGTATAGAAAATGGACGAGTCAAATCTGAATTATGTAATCTCTCTTCCATGTTTTTCATTAGTAACATTCATCGATGCAAGATTCATGTTGGTGGGAGACTTGAATATTCAACTCTCGATTTTTATAATCAACCTAATATTAAAAGCTCTTTCGGTTAAGAAAACTAGTATTTAACTGAAGAATTTGAAATTGTCGAATATTCCACGGAAAGATACGAAATGCGTTTAACTCGCAGCTGGAAAACGCTTCTACAAGAATCAGCACCTCTACAAACCGGGCCATTCATCTTTTTCTCACAACTTTACAGTGCATTTATTTGTTACATGTACACTTCATTCCTTGTCCTTATCATTTTTTTTTATACGATCCTAATATCGTTACATCTTCACACAATAATGAAAGAGATACATAACACGGTGGCAGACGTGTAAAAGAAGTGTAATAAAGTCATTAATAAAATAGTGAAATTAACTCGAATTAACCATTAATGTCGTCTAAAATCGTTTGCCAAAATTTTCATGGTTACATATTGTTGCGAAAATCCCAAATCGAGTTCATTCCGGCTAATTGATTTTCCCAAATAATACATTCCCAAGAGAGGGAAAAATCAAATGCATATTCGCGGCGCGTTATGCAGCTGCCGGTCTATGCAAACAAGTAGCGGAAAAGCAGGTTAACGGATTAAAAACGAAGCCATGAACTTAGGTAATTGTAATATGCTTGTAAAAGTGCACATAAATAGACCATTTGCGGAAGGCAGAGTCAGTCGGACAAGGGCAATTGAGTCGAAAAAGAATATTAGAGTTGAGAAGTCGAGAGTACTGCCAACGAAAAACAATATCCACGATCTAGTGGTACGAGTCCTATCTTAGAACAGCGAATTTCATAATAATATAGTTCTTTAAATGAAACTTCGAATGAGTTTCCAAGCTTAATATATATACCTACAAAAATTCATGTGGTGTCGCTTAAATTTAAGGCAGAACAATTTAGTAGCCGTATAGAAATTGTGAAAACTATGATTTAAAATTTTCATGCGGACATCCTATTTAAAAGAAGCCAGTGAAACTTGCGTTGTTGCTTCATCACATGGGCTCTGACTCTTTGAACATTCTCTGTGCCTTCAATAAAGAGATTCACACAATAAAATATAAGAGCTACATAGTGATTAGAACCTAAAATGAGCTAATATGACAAATATGAGTCATACGACAAATATATCACAAGTTTAAAAGATTTGAGAGTAGTGTATGAATTTGCTGAATTAAAATCGAAGCTTTTTGTTGGTTATCTTAGCTCCTATAAAAGAAAGATTGCTAAGAGGTACACTACCTTTGAAAAAGTACCTAAATATTGCCAGACATACTATTTCGCCAAAAGAAGACACTTAACAACTTGAAACTGGTCCCTCAGCAATTAGTGAAATCAATGCGCTGATAACATATTAGAACAAACCGAAAAAATATCCAATTATTTATGTACATCGGTGTAACTAAATTCACCAGATTTCTTGCTTCTTCTTCAAGTGTTTTAAACAGGTCATTCAACAAGACAAGCAAAGTGACAAAGAGAATTTACTTTTTGACAGTACTTTTGAGATTGATTCGTTAACACCATTGTGTAACGTATGTATCTTTCAACATCTGCACTGACTGTAAACACAGGAGGGACAACAAAAGTAGAAGACGGTAAATTTGATTTGAGCATGAAAGTATGCCTTTATAACGACGCTAAGGCGGTTATATTTTAGGTGAATGCAGCTTAACATTCCATTTTATTATATATTTTATGTTATAAAATTAGTTACATATGCAACCCTGTAAAAAGTAGGGTTGGTAATTTCAAAGACGAAAAAAGATGACGCATAGAATAATTAGCAGATATGGTGGATTAACATGTTTGGGAAAAAGAGTAAAATAGGAGGGAGAAGAGGAGAGTTTTTTTTTTGTTTTGAAAGTAAAAGTTAAACGTGTACAGAGAGTATTTGATATTGTGTTTATGTCGAAAAATATGTTTGAAGAGTTAAAGAAAATATGTTAAATTTAAAAAAAAGGATGAATTATGCCACAAAAATTCAAAATTATGTATGTATTGGTTGATAATGATGGTGAATCAGTACTAGCATAACCTCCGGCAATGACTCTGCTTTTGGTCACAAATTTGCGCAGATCCATCATCGTATCAAGAAAATGTTACTGCTGGCACACATTCTCATCCACTGTTAGTATTAAATGCTAACGATGGCAAAGAAATTTCCAGATTAACACTAAAGGATAGAATCGAGGGTTGTGTGCCGTTGATAATGAATCAATTGACAGTGATTGGTTTTTATGATAGTAGTGCCCTCGATTTTCAACAAAGTGAACTGTTGTTGCAATTTTCTTTTTAAGTTTAATCCGAGGCAAAACGACTAACCATTAAACTACAGCAAAGGCCAAAATACCAAAAGTCCATTTTTTTGTTTTGTAAACAAACTTCAAATCCCAGCCATAATACGCACACCTATCAGTTGAAGTATGACTCGAAGCAGAAGGTTTTCTATTTACTAAATATATGTGTATAACGTTTTACTGTAACAAAAATATTTAAAAAAAAATGAATTGGAGATTTTTTTAAGGAGAAAATAGTTTAGGGGTCTTCGCACCCAACTCCGGGGCCTCCGATTGAAATTCATGAGCCGATGGAAACCGTAGGTAGAGCAGGGTAAGGAGTGGCCAAGATCGTAACATCTGCACGTTCATTAAGTAGGGTTCGTCCGTCCTTTTTTTCTTATAATGGTAAAGCCCATGTATTTCTTTTAGTTGTAATCGTCTGTGAAGTGTCCGTGAAACAAAAATTTGGAACACAGTTTTTATAGATTTCATTTGATTATAGGTGTAAGCGTATATGTACTCACCTCGCCCGTCATGATCTAACAAAACAAACTTATTTTAAATTCATTACAATAATTTCATAAAAGAAAGTGTACAAAAATGTACAAAAATTTGAATAAATAACTGAAAACGATGTTAAATATTCTATTCACAAAGATATACTAAAAAAATTTTTTTATGCTATGCAAACAGTTAATAGTAATTAAAGGATTTACTAATCCAATTTGTGTAATAGAATAACGCCTGACGTGATCGTCGGAAGCGCTTTCGTCGATTACAAATTGCAAAAATTATATACCAAGTAATTAATAAATTCACAATTTAACTTATAACATTTACACGTGCGATGAACTTGTTTTTATTTACATGTATTACCATGGAACTGGTGATATAAAAGTTGCCAAAAAAACGCATAATGCTTGAGAAGGTCAGTAGCTTCACCTCAGTATGGCCATATCTGAGTCAAATTAGTTCAAACCAGCTTTCTCCCTTTTCCTTTTAGCACAGACATTTCTTTTTGCTGCTGCGTAACAACTGTAAGTTATACATTGCATGCGCAATGCCGAGATTTATTTTATGCCAATCACCTAGGATAAACGTAAGAAGCAGCATGTATTCAAGGGCGTGTGTAAAGCAAGAACGTTGTGAATTCCGGTGGTCTTAGCTCATTATCACACTGGTAGGTACCCACTGCGACCATCACACAAGGCGGTTGAGGCGGCTATCATGTGGATTCCATGAGAGTCTGCTGCGTGGCTCAGCAGTTGAGAACGTAGTGTAACCCGGCGGTTTTTGGCTGTTGAAGAACTATTAACAGAACAAGATAGTGCGTTAGAAGATGGGTGGTGGTTGCAGTGGAATCGACTTGGGCGATTACCATGCGTATTTCATGGAAATGTACTTTAACTGACCGGTGCTTGTGGTTCAACAACTGGGAAGAATTAATGAAGTGATTAAATTCCGGGCCCATTTTGGCACGATATGGTGTAAATAAATACTCAATACTAGAGCAAGACAGGCAAAATAGAGTTGTTGAAGAGAGCAAAAATATATGCCGGAGCATATACAATGCTTTTAGAAAACAATAACAAACCCTTTTAATCAGATATAAGCAAGAGAAATGAAGAAATAAGAAAACAATGTAAAAGCGCAGCGAAAGATAAACGATGTTCTAAATTACAATTCCAAACAAAATTTATTGATAGATTTGAAAATCAATGGTAGGCAAATTATTTGCAAAAGACTTAACACCACGCTGAAGCACCAGCAGGATATGGCCGCGAATGTAAAACAAGCTGAATTTGGTAAAATAAACAAGATGAAGAATACATACGAGAGCATCCGGTGATGACTACGAAAATAAACAGAATGATATCAAGATTTCAAAACAGAGTGACGGATATACATCAGAGATATAATTGTTAGGTATAATAAGCTTGCGTTATATATTTTGTACTGTTTTTCTGAAATTCTTTTATCATACTGTACTGTTACATAGGTAACATAAAGAGTAAAAAAAAATTATAAATAAAAATATATGATGATGCAAATGCGTTACAAGGTTACCATTACTTCGCACACAAGATTGGAATTACCAATTACTAACCCTTTGCATTCGGCTGTCCCCTCTGAGGATGTCCCATCGTAAGTCTAGCATATCACTGCGTTGTCCCCTCTGAGGGGACATGATAGTTTTTTATCGATTAAGGACAATGAAATTATTCACCGCAAGTGAATCTACCGATTCTCCTTCAATAATCGAGTTTGACATACATCATCAAACACCCGGACCACAAATACGAAGCAATAGAAAAGAACCCATAAATTACTTTACTTCATATTTTACAAATGAATTAATAGACAATATAATAAAAGAGACGAACACTTATGCCAACGAAAAAATAAGGAACAAACAAACAAATTGTCACAAATTATCACATAAATCAACTTGGTACATGTGGCAGGATGTTACCAAGCAAGAATTTTTAGCTTTTATTGCCGTTACACATGGGATAGATCCACCTACCAAATCTCCAAGAATATTGGTCTACTGATTCCACTAGTAATATTCCTTTTGTTTCCGAAACTTTCAGTAGGGACAGATTTCTACAAATCTTCTGGATGCTCCTTTTGAAGAAAGATACACGAAGCGATAACACAATCAAAACTCGTATTCAAAAGGCCAGCAATTATTTAGAATATATAGATTCTAAATGTAGTGAATATTTCATACCATACAAAGCAATTTCTTTCGACAAAACCGTGCTAAAATTCAAAGTCAGAATATCATTTATAACATATAATCCAAATAAGCCGACCAAATAGGGTATGCGCACTAGGTATATGCACTAGCCGTTGCAAAAATTGGATATTTTTTTTCAATTCTTCCTTATTTTGGCAGCATCACATCCGATAGCATTTCCCGGCCAGATCTCCCTGTAAGCACGAGAATTCCATTGCGTTTATATAAAAAGTTGATAGACAAGGTTCCTGATGCGGAGGGATATCACATGTACACTGATAGATGTTATACCAATATTCCTTTAGCAGAACAATTGCTAAAAATGAAATGCAATTTTACCGGCACAGTAAAAGTAAATCGAAAGGGCATACCCATGGCAATTCGTAAACCAAAATTTTCGTCAAAAAAACAGTGACATACAGAAAAAATAATATTACTCTTCCTGTGTGGAAGGATAAAAGAACTGTCACAATGCTAAGTATTTTTATAACAACACAGGAATCAACCCTCAGAACGTTACGTGGTGGAAATATTATATCTATTGATAAGCCTCAAATGGTTCTCGATTATACCGCAAATATGGGCGGTGTCGATCCTGCGGATGAATACGCCTCTACGTAGTGTTTGCTGCGGAAATCTTTAAAATGGTGGATAATATTATCATTTTCGGGATTGGAAATGTGCGTTATAAATTCCTTCATACTTTACCGAATCTCAGAAGAAGGAAAACAACAAAAACCAATCACACACCACGAGTTTGTAAAAGGTCTTGTAAAGCAGTTGAGAGGTGATTTTCGAGAATCTCGATCACGTCCATCTACATCGTTGTCAGACAATAGACCGAATAATAAGTTCCATTTTCCAAATGTGGGAGAAAGAAAACGGGATTGTTTTGTCTGTTCTGACAGAAAAACACCAGGCGGAAGACGGCAAACAAAATTTTATTGTGAAGCATGTACAAATTACTCAGCTATGCATGTTAGGAATTACTTTACTATACTGTAGAAAATTATAAAAAATTAATTTTGATATTGTTTTGTAGATATATGTTTTTCAATGTCCACAAATTCATAAAAAACAAATTTCATTACAATTCCTTACTTGGTTCTAAAATTATACTGTATAATATCACGTTTCCAGGATGTACGTTTTCGTTAAAAAGTGGCGTCGAGTTTCTGGTAGGTAACGTCCGAAACGGTGCCGAGTGCAAAGAGCTAACATACTCCATTTTAACCTAAGTGCATTTGCAAAAGAAGTCTAACAAATTCAAGATCCAACTTAATAGCAAACTCAAAGGTTCACAAGTCCTTTCATGCTTCCAAAACCTTGGTAAATATATTGGCAAAATTTTGTTCTGAAGGTACATAATACACATTCACATTGAGCCCTCACTGTATCTGGTCCTAACCTAGCAGCATTTAAATCGATATATTTGCTAGGTTTATGAACGGTTGGGTTCTTCACCATAAAGTTCGCCCTTTTGATGTCACAGTAAACAGGAGCAGGTTTCTTAATATTCTTGACAAAGCCCATTTCTTATAGTAGATATTATTAGTATCCGCAAACAGAGCCACATATTCCACATGAGGATATGAATTAAGTTGAAATAGCTTTGAAAATTCATGGGTGATATCTGTATCAAGTATTGAATAACCGCCAATCAAAATATGATATTTTATCAACCTTAATTATCATTTTTTTTTTTGGAATTTTTTCGCTTGCTCATATTATCGATGCAGCTTTCAAATTCTCCATGCTCTATACATCCAGTAATTGTCAGGTATATTTTTCTTGACGAATTTGTATGCTTTTTCTACGACAATTCCTTTAGTTTTCTACACCCAAATAAAACTAGATTAGCCCATGTCCCACAGCTTCAACGTTTTCATTAAGTTGTGTGACAATAAAGTTTATGCCAGCTGCCGTTGAAGATGCAAATATCAAATCATCCATAAACAATGCTATGATATTAGTATTGTCCACATTTCTTTTCAAATACATGCAGTTGCCCATCTGGCACCGCTTGAAGCGTGTCTCATGCAAAACTAGAGTTTTTTTACTGTTCCATTGTGCCCTGCCTGACGTAGTCCATACAATGGTTTATTCGGCTTGCAGACCTCACCTAGATTATTGAGATCTTCATACAATGGTGGTTGTTCCATAAAATCGTCATCATCAAGAAAACCGTTTAAATATGCTGCTATAATATCAACGTTATTCACTACTAGTTCAGATTTTACTACCAATGACAGTGTTATTCCGATGGCAGCATCCGCAGTAATCCGGTACGGACAGAAACAAACGATCCCTGAGCTACCAATCCATGATCAGATTTCTACACGAAACCATCCGATCTTCTATCAATGTTAAATAGAAAGGACCAAAAGGCAGATTTGATGTCAATAGACTCACTGGCTGTGGAAAAGCTATTATAACAACCGTAGAACTAACGTAAGCAGTAAGTAAGTAAAAAATGTGATTTTATATTTCGTTACAGAAGGAAGAAATACTAAAAATATAAAGAAGTAAGAGTGTGTTCACGTAAAGGATCACAAGAAATTTAATTAAAAAATTAGCTCAAGTTAAAAATAAATAAAAAAAGAAAAAATAAGAATAAATCACTGGAAATTAAGAAATGAAGCTGATAATAAACGAAAGAAGAAAAACAAAATCGGAAAATTTTTAATCAAAAGAAGAGAGAAAAAATAAAGTAAAGCTAAAGAAAAACGCAGAAGAAACAAACGTAAGGCTGAAATAAAAGAAGAGTAAACGAAAATAAAAAAATGAATGAAAAACAAACAGGATTGAAATATAAAAAGGAAAAGAGAAAAAGGAATAAGAAGCAAATTAGTGGAAAGAAACTTAGTTAACATTATCAAATTAAAGTTAAAAACTCTTGAAAATCTTGTGGCACTTTCTATATAATCACAAGTTATAGGAATATCAAAACGAACACTGAGAGTTTAATCAGGCCGTCTATCCTAACTGCAAGTCAAATTGTGGACACGAGATCCTCGGTATGAAATTTTTCCGATACGCGAAAACAAATAAGAGAATTGGTATTTGTAGCCATGAGTTCAGGAAATAATGAACCCAGACTTCGAAGATGACGTTACTAACCGAGCAATTGATACCTCAATCCCAGACGTAGTCAAAAGCCTAAGAGAATTTTTAATTCGACATTAGGAATTTATAACTATTTGAAAGGTAGCCCAAAATATTATAGGATGTTAAGTCTAGTAACAAAATGGTAGAACAAGTGAACATAGCTCTTGAATCCTACAATACACCGCTAAGCTGGAAGAAAATATGAAATTGCCTGACAATGCGCTGTGCTGGCATAAGGGATCTAGGAACATCAGAATATCAGATAACAAAGTTCATCCAAGGGAACAAGAATGTTGTAGAATTCTACCAAGCTGTTTGCCAGCATCACCCTTTAATTCTAAACATACTTTCCTGCATGGACATGGGTACTGAGCCATTAAAAAATATGGCCCAAGCATATCGCGGAGAAGTATTAAAAACATTTATTACAACGCTTAGAGGCGATCTATTTTGCTTACTCAGCATGCGGCGACCAACGGATTCGCCACAAGCATTACATATCTGCTTACAACTCCAGAAAGTGAATTATAAGACGCAATACTAGCCAAACTAAACCTCCAAGGAACATAGCTCCACCTTTATTGTAAGTAAGGGTATATCAACCCAGAAGCTAGGGAATAACAGAAAGACCTGCAACAATTGGCAGGTAATATTAACAAGGGATCAATCGTTCAGGGACATGCCATCTAATATTTGAACGAAATCCTCAATACCGGCAATTTCAGTATCAACCAACATTGCCGCCAAAGCCAGAACAAGTTCGAAAGAATACCAAACGTACACGCAGAAACGCGCACCTTCCCATCAATTCCAAAGAATGCCTCCCGAATAGTAGAGATCCTACAATATAACGTGCGAAGAGGACAATTATGGAAAGAGCACAATAGAACCAAATCCAGAAGACATATTGAACGAAAACATGAAACACGGGACTGATTGAAAATTCGGAATACGAAAAAATAGAACGTCTCGAAGACATTCATTTTTTAGACTAAGGCAATCGTCGCTGCCTTATTTCGAATATAGTGGTGGCGAAAATACCTTAAAATTCTTAATAGACATAGGGTCGAACAAAAAGTACGTTCGGCCACAACAAGCAAGAAAACTCATTGCTAATGAACGCCTTTTTAGCAAGTTCCGCCTGCGGTA